TGGAGAGACAGCTCAACGGTTAAGTGCACGCAGTACTCTTGTAGGGGACCTGGGTTTGTTTCCTAGTACCCACACTGGGCAACTCATAACCACCTGTCAGCTCCAATTCCAGGAGATCCAATGCCATCTTCTGGTCCCTGAAGACACATGGTGCACATACATACAGACAAGCAGGCACACATACATAAATAAGCATAAAAACTGACAATATTTTAAATAAAGATGATGAAGAGAGAATGAAGAGATCACAAACACCTGTTACAAAAATTCAATCACAAGTGTAGTTGTTGCTACAAAACAGATGAAAATTTTACCAGGTTACTGTAATGTAGGGAATTCTATGTCTAGCCATAGTTTGCAGCATGTATCAAGCAAGTCTCAATAAATCCGGTTAATTATGGTGAGAAATACTGGCAATAATCCTCTCTTACACTTTCCCCAACTCCCACTATCTTCAGTTAACGAGGGTCCAAAAATATTAAAAGGAAAAGTCGAGAGAAGTTTAGATAACTTATTTGACTGTAGCATATTGTATACACACTTGAATTTGGTTTCCTTTCTTTTTCTTTCTTCTCTCTGGAAATCTTTTAATTCATCTACATCCTTATGATATAAATCAAAAGAAAGTTTTAATAAAATTGAGTTCTAGACATTAATTTTTATTAGAAAACAATCTTAAGACAAATTTTACTTACTAAAGAGCATTTTGTTATTTAACTAATGTATATTTAGCTAATAATAACTAATAATATATTAACTAATTAATATATTTAACTAAGCCAGGCCAAGCAGCCAGGACCTATAATCCTAGCTACCTGGGAGGCTGAGGCAGGAGGATTATAAGTTTAAGGCCCTCCAGATACTCTCTCAAATTAAAAAAAAAATTAAATAGGCTAGGCGTATAGTTCAGTGATAGAGCGTTTGCTAACATGTACGACAAGGCTCAAGATACAATCTCCAGTACTGTGATAAATAAATAAACATTATATTATCAGTAACCCAGTTTCAGTTAAAAATAGCATTAACTCAACTAAGTTAAAACCCAGACATACATACTGATTCCATACTGGGAATCTTTATGTAACAATACTGATGCCTTAAGAATGTTTCTTCTGGGGGCTGGAGAGATGGCTCAGCAGTTAAGGGTGCTTACTACTCTTCCAGAGGATGATGGTTTGGTTCCCAGCATGCATATCAGGCAGCTAACAACCACCTGTAACTCCAACTCCAGAAGATCTGACGCCTCTGGCCTCAGTGCATACCCACATACAAGTGCACATACTGGCATATACACATGTAATTAAAATAAATCTTTCTTTAAAAAAATAATTCCTTCCCTTAGAAATGTAATACTCAAAGCACATATCTAATATAAAGGCAAGGTTATTTCCTTTGGTAGCATCTACATAAAGATTAGATTTACCTTTTCAAAACGTGTGCTTCATTTGTTAATAATTTTATAAAAATTCAAGTTAATCTTCAAAAAACTGCTACAGTAACAGAAACACTATATATATATATATATACACATATGTATATTATATGTATATATGTGTATAAACTTTTATGCCATGGTTATTTAGGTGTAGTATGGATAATATCTACCTTTTTAAAAGGTATTTTTAGAAGTCATGCCATCATACATCCTAATTAGTGCACTTTTCTAGTTTAAAACTTACTGAATTTTCTTTTAGCAAAGCATTTCTCTCTCTACTAGAAGTGAACAATATAAATTAATGGTCATGCTGCAAAGCTAATGAAACCATTTCAAGCTTAAACATCATTTCTATGATTTCTTGACATCCTCTGCACCTCTCACTGCACTTCTGCCCAATAAAGCTCATCTTCCAACATCTGCCTGATCTTTCTCCTTCCTCTTACTGTGATTCAGTGTAAGTAGTTAAGAGTAGCTAGCAGTATAATCCCACATGATATTGCATCTGTGTTTACATCTGGCTCTAATCACATGCTTAAAAGTGATTTATACAGAAGGAAGGGAGAAAAGGGGAAAAATAACATAACTGTGAGAAATAATTACAGTTTTAGAAACAGTCCCAATACGAATTTCTCACATTTCAACACCACTAAAATTACAATCATAGCATGATTTGCAATTTCAAAAATACTAGAAACTAGACAAAGAAACAAAACAAAAACCATTAAGTATTCCTCATGCTTTTATACCAGAGACATCTAAAGCAAGGGATTGGTGCTTTCAATTTATAGTTTTAAGGTTTGGCTTCATGCTAGAATTTCATACATCACACCATTCTGGTAAAGCTCCTTAACACATAAAAAAAAGTAAATGAATCATACCTGTGCACTGAGATCTCAGGAATTAAGAAAGTAATGAATTAAAGAAATACCTGTCAGGAAATGAAAACCTGTATTTACACACACACTCAATCCATTACAAGTTCACAGAGACTTACTTGACAAGCCAGGTAATTCCTATTCAGTTCAAAGAAAACAGTGTGACTATCATGTGATGGCACTGATATCAGCACAATTATAAAACTACCATTAAAATAAATAGGGAAAGAAATACTTCTAACTTTCAAGCTAATGTAAGGCTTTAAGCTCACAGTTATATTAACAAAACTATATGGACACAAAGCAAAGAGTTAATACATTAAGTTTCATGCAAGTATTATATGCCAGATTTATAGTTTCAATTTATATGGTTTGCTGAAAGCAATAATTCTTTGAATAGAAACAAACAATAAACCACTAAAGCCTTAAAGAAAGCTTATATTTCTTCATATATAACTGGTAAACTTAAAGTTCACATGCTGCCTGATTCTTCACTATGGATATGGGATGGGAGCAGGTCACCATTAACAAAGGGATTACAGGAGAAAGGATAAAATCTAAACTACCTACCCCTGAACAACTGATGGGTATTATCTATTTTAGTAGTTGTCTACCAACCTGCCTACATGAGTTATGAAAATTATGACATAGTACTATCACATTCACTTAATTATCACTTTCATTTAATGATTAATTGAAATTTCTTTTACCATATTTAGCTACTGACATCTTTTAACATCTAAAAAATGTGTTTTTTCAGGAATCCTATTATGAACAAAAGGTTTAAAAGTATGATAGACATTCAAAATAAATATATAGAATCACTGAATTTTCTTGCCCAACTCTTAAAAACACAGAACTTTTAAATAACATAACTGCTTTACATTGAGACTAAATTAGTATCAATCTCAAGATTTGAAAAGCTCAAATTTGTAAAACCATTCAAGTGAAAACTCCCACTTCTTTCTAGGGTCAGTAAACTAGAAAATACTTATGTTTAATTTATCTGGGGCTGGTTTTAAGTAACACTAAGACTCAGAATTATACCACCAAAAATCGCAATCAGCAGAGGAGATGGCAGACTTATAACACTACATCAATATCCATTTTTGTTAGCATCCTCTACTGGTGGTTTCCAAAGACAGCAAGAAGACACGGTGCTAATGATGGAAAGGTATGTGCCTGCAATTCCATCTAAGGGGAATTAGTCAGCATGCATAGGCAGCTCCAGCACATTTGTTAAGAATAAAGCCTGGGGGGTGGGTGGCAAAATATATCATATAGTAGAATGTAAGAAAAGAGAAAAAGATTTTACATACAATAAGGCATTAAATTACAAATGGTAAAAATCAATTCCAGCAATTCTAATGGCACTCCTTTACAGATGGCGAACATCATTACCATAAACCCCATGTAAGGCTTGCCAGCTTGGCCAAGCCTTGATCAATTGGTTTGCCCCTGTTAAGTTACAGTGGTTGACTCTGTCATTAATGTCCTGGCCTGCAGACATATTCTAGAAAGGAAATGAAAATGTTTTACTGCCGGCTTAGCAGTAAAATCTACATGCAGTATTTCAAAATGAATACAATATAATTTACACATTAATAACATATCTCTATAACTGTCTCCCACTGTAAACATCACCACTTCTTCCTTTAAAAGATCTGAGTTAACATTTTTCCAGACAATTCTCTCCAAAAACATCTGCAACTTAAATACGACTATCTTGCTAAGAAATATTAACCAGTACCTATCCCAAGGTTTCAAAACACAATGGCATATAAGTTCATTTCTAATCAGCAGAAATACGAGTCTAAATCAAATAGCATGTCTCTAATGACCAGCAATGGATGAAAGCGTTTGAGAACAAAAAGAAACACCGGACAGAGCCAAAAGTGATGAAAATGGAAGATACCTGTAATAGCACAGCGCTATCTCAAACACCTTTTGTTTTCTCCGAGTAATGCACACTGCAGACAAGACGTTTCGGGCTAAAGAGCCCAAATCTGTTTTTCTAATATTAAACACAAAAGGAAAACACTGACAGCAAGCATGGTAAATAAATCCCTCCCCTGAGATGGAAAGCGGCAAATAGGAGGGGGGCTGACATACATGCAGGAGAAAACTAAACACCATCTTTTTTCTACCTGCACAAGTTGCCATTTGCTGCAGCAATCAAGAATCTGTTCTTCCTGTTGATTTCAAGTACCTTTCAGGATAGCTTTTCCTCCTTAAAGTCATCTGTTGATATGCCTTATGAGTGTGATATTCATATTACAGGATCTCTAGGAGAAAAATCCATTCTTTCCTGCTCAGGTAAACATGTTTACAGCAGCTGCACAGACGCTGGGTGGTTCAGACTCACATGTCACACACATGTCGTCAGCAACAAGAAAAGCCCCTTTCTCTGGCGATCAACATTTTAAATAAGGTAAAAGCAGCGAACAGCCCTTTCCAGAACCAACTTACCTTTCATAAAGCCACATCAGCAACAACGGCAACAGCTCAATATAGATCACACACTATTTGACGCTAAAAGCAGGAAATTAAAATTGCAATAGCCTGTGCTCAGGTTCTTGCCATAACCAGGCACCTCTCCACAATGGGGCTCCCAACACACCTTTCCCCTCGGAACGCACAGGAGTCTGTGAAATGCAAATGATTATCTGAACCACCGAAAATCATTCATGGCAGCGGCGATATTAATGCAGACGCAAATATATTCAAAATATGTTTACGACTGGAAGGAAACATCTTTGCAACAGCCTAAAATCTTCGTATGTGCCTCTAGACAGGAAATCCCCCACAAAATCTAAAATTGCCAGGAAAGGTTACAAAACCTGGCATTCGGCATCCCGGAGGGGAGGGAGCAGGGCAGCCAGGCGGGGGTGGGGCGCGGGGACGCGCCAGGGTTGCCACTTAAACAGGATTTCCTCCTTCTCGGGACGCCACCTCGATACCATCAGGGGCGCATTTATTGCCCCCACTCTCAAAACCTCGGTGTCCACAATCCCGCGGGTGCCCCACGGAGTCCCCGGGTGCGGAAGGCACGAGTAATTCCTTATATAGCCGCGGCGGCCGCCGCGCGGGGCCGCCCAGCAGAACACAGGTACCCGGGCGGGGGTATCCCCCGGCCGCAGAGACCGTCCAGACAATGACCCGCCGGACGCACGGCCGCGCCACGCACGGGGACCTCACACCCACCCGCCAGGCTCCCACGTCGGCCACCCACACGCTCCCCACACCGGCCAGCCCACCGCGCACCCACCCGCACAGGTCCGGGCGTCGCTCTCCGCTCTGAGCAGCTGTCTTTCTCTGCCTTTCTTTTAAACTCTCAGGCCAGGCCAAGAAGCACTGTGTTTTCCTGGCACACCGGCACCGATCAATACCCCTGAGCTGCGCGGCCCACGAGCGGCGGCCCCATGGGCCCGTCGGGCCCCCTCCCCCACCCGGCCCACTCGCGACCGCGAGCGCCATCCCAGCTCCATTATCCGGCCTCAGCGCTCCGCGCATCCGGCCCAGGTAACAACTTCCCCCAAAGAGCTCGCGAGGCGCACTCACGCAGCCCGACCAGCGGGGACCCGGGCACGGGACCTGTCTGTGGTGCTTCCCGACCCCCGGCACCGCGCGGCAGGTCCACGCACACGCGCGCCCCGCGGCTGCAGCAAGTGGCTGCCCGGCCCTGCCCAGCCCTCGACGGCGCCGCACGCGCGGACCTCCAGGTCCCCCGAGCCGCGGCGTCCACCGTGCGGCCCCATCCCAGGTCCGCGAGCGCGCGGGGAACAACTTTCCCGCGGGCGCCCAACCCGGCGCGCGGCTCCCGCTCCCGCGCACACGCGCGCACGGCCGCCACGCAGCCGGTGTCCCGCACCGCCCGCCGCAAGTTTGTTCCCCGCCGCGGCCTGCGCGCCCAGCCAGGACCGCGCGCGGACGCCTAGCGCGGGGAGGCGCCGAGGGGCCGCAAGAGTGGAGAAAAGTGCGGAAAGAAGCAACAGCCGCTCCACCCGCGAGCGGAAAGTGGCCTGGCGCGGCGAGGAGCCGGCGGCGGACGGGATGCGGCACGGATAACGGTCCCGGCCCGCGGTAGCGGCCGCCCAAGCCGCCAGGCGGAGAGGCCAGGTAAGACATAACGGTCCCGGAGCGGCCCGGCGGCGGGGCGCACGACTTTACTTTCCCACTCCACTTGGTCCGTCCCCGCACGCCGCC